CGAAGGCAGACCCTTAACAGACTGAGGGACCCAGGTGCCCTGTGACAATCCTTAAAAAAAAAAAAAAAAAAAAGAAATGGGCTTAATAGACTCTCATTCAGATTCCTTGAAAGCGGTATTATCAGTACTTGGCCATCCTATTTCCAAATGATAATTTAGGCATCACATGCTTTACCAGGGAAGGGAACAAAACATGAGATGCTCTGCAAAAACGTTCCATCTTGCTTTCTGTCCTGAGACAATATGTATGTTGGTTACTTTGTAATTTTTTAAGTACAGAGGAAACCCACTTCTCGCGTCCCAAATGAAAAAAGGAAAACTGGCAATTAGACAAGTTATAGGAGGCAGGTGTACTCTCCCCTAAGATGCAATAAATAGTTAATGCTCCAGGAGCTTGGTTCTCCTGACAAGGTGGAGAGCAGTGGGGTTTACACCTTCCACACTCTTTTGAAAAAGAAAAAAAATGTTACCAGCATAGGGTTGAAAAACCACTACATGTAAAAATGAATTGTTCTTTAATACTAATAAAAATAAGTCAATAAATAAATATTACCTTTATTATCCTTTGTTGAAAGACTTTCAACTTTCTTTTTGAGTCCAAAATCTTTCATTTGCCACCTTATGAAAATGATCAATCAACTAATCTAGGGCCTGGAAAGAAGTGTCTTCTGATCTTTGACTAAGAATTCCCCGGGCGCCTGGGTGGCTCACTTGGTTAAGCGACTGCCTTCGGCTCAGGTCATGATCCTGGGGTCCCGGGATCGAGTCCCACACATCGGGCTCCCTGCTCAGCGGGGAGTCTGCTTCTCCCTCTGACCCTCTTCCCTCTCATGTGCTCTCTATCTCTCATTCTCTCTCTCTCAAATAAATAAAATCTTAAAAAAAAAAAGAAAAAGAATTCCCCTGGAATAAGAAATGGGCTCTCTGTTCAACATAAATAATCAAACTTTATGTTTATTTATATCAATCAAGTTTCATCTTCTAGATTCAGATGAAAAGTCTGCCTGGAGAGATCTTTAAGGCTCCTGATTATGTCATAACAATCCATCCACTGTCCCTACCAAATTCTTGTGATAAGCAGATCTTATATATATGTTATGAATGTCCTCCTCCAAGTCATTAAAAAATTGTTGAACAAGAGAAGCCCAAATTTCCAGCTCTGCAGTATGACACTAGAAAGTTCCCTCCAGGATGTCAGTGAGCCATAATCAGCACCTTTTGGCTACAGTAAATTGACCAGGGCTGAATCCACCAAGCTCTACTGGGCATCCAGCCCATGCTTCTGGAGCTCATCCAAAAGGACATCATGAAAAACACTAATATCTGCTTTCCGGATGCCCTCTTTTTTCTTCTGCTCTGAATTCCTACTTTTAACCTCAGCCAGTTTAAAGTTGTTCCACAGACCGGTGTTTATTTAACCTTCGTGAGGAACCACATTTCTAATGCAGAGATATTTTTAAGTGTCCGTAAAGTTCTTTAATTAAAAAATGCCAAATTCATCTATACACTAAATAAATTGAACTAGCCCAATGTACACTATTCTTAGCTCAATCTGCCAGAGCACATTTGCATAATATCGCAATGTCCTGATTTCAGCTGTTTGTAATACCAGGACCAGACAGAGCAAGGCCAGGAAACAGAGTAGAAGTAGCAATGAATGCTACAGTACTGCTTTTCATTAATGAGAAGCTTAAAGAATGGCCTCTAAAAAATAACACTTGTCAGAGCCTTAAATGGGTACTGTCTAAGGAGTATTGATTGATCTCGACTAGCCAGGAAATTAGAAAGAGGAGAGTCATAGTGCAACAATTCATCTTTGTCAATAAAAGGAAGCTCTGTTTCTATGGGAAACCATCTCTCTCCTGGTTCAGAGGATGTAGTCTTCAAGAACCGTATATTCTGTAGCAATTCTCATGGGTTATCTTGGAAAGTCCTCCAATTGCAAGAATTACGTATGCTTCTAAGTATCACCTTAAACCACTTTTAATCACATTCACCTACCCACGTGAAGTGCTGCAAGAGTGAAATGTCGACCCATTTGCTTAGCATGGCAACATTTAAAATGGGGGATGGTTGTCATGATGTCAATGAAAACTAAAAATTATATTCTGTTATGTTGTCTAGATGGTAATTTACTTTGCTCAATGCCATGTCTCCAGCACCTAGAGGAGTGCTTGGCACATAGCAGACACCCAGTAATATTCATGGGATGAATACACGGATCAATGGTGAACGACAACACAGACCTACCGAATTCCTACTGTGGGCAAGGCACCAGGTAATATGCTATTGGGAAGAGTCTGTCATTTACTCAACAAATACTGAGCGCCTCCTATGTCTGAGGCACTGGGCTCGGTTCAAAGCGTCTAACTATGGAGGATTTAGTGTGCCCTTTTAGAGCTTATAGCTGGCTCAATGACAAGTAGCCAGAAGTAAAAGATAGATTCCTTGCTCTTGGGAGCTAGCTATTTTAAAATCGAGTTGAGAAGGCAAGACAAACGCAAGAAAGTTAAATAATGAGAATTTCTCACATATATCATTCAAAGGCGGGCATCCCTTTTTTAGGTAGAGTACTAAGGCTTACGGATTCTGCCTGCAATTAAGTTCATGCCCAGTTTTGTTTTCTGAGGGCTTCGATGCTCTTCCCTCAGACACTTAACCCTACCCTTTCCTTCCTTACTCCTTCACTCTATGTTATTTTCATTTATCACGCTGGCTTTCCTGCATCCTGTAAACCCCCGGTCAAACAGGGAACAAAATAAAGCGTGATGAGTCTTGTTTACTTTGAAACATCCCAACCTTTCTGCCTACACCACTGAAAGCAATCAAACTTCAAAGTCGGTTGGCTGTATCATCTCAGCACTTTTAATTTAGATGTAGTTACATTTGCATAACAGTTTAGCTGTGAATTTGGCAGGAAATTTCTGAAGAGTTATTTTGGTTCTACAGAGAGCGCGCCCAATGTCTAATAAGCAGATCTCCTGTGTGGTACTGCATTTTTATCTATACAAAAAAAGGACCCTGGAGGCTCATACCTTGGCAAAAGCTTTTTTGCTAACCAATAATACGATTAGCAGCATTGCTTTTCCTGAGAGTGATAATGTGGTGAAGCCTGTTGAATTTTTGAAACCATAGTAACAATACAGGAGAAACTCAATGAAAAATGGCATTTTAAAATTTTGTATGGTTTACTTTTCTGATTAGAAATGTATATTCATAATAATCCATTTGGAAGATGCAGCAAAATATAGACAGGGTAAACATCACTCATAATCCTACCACCTGAAGCTAAGCACTTTAATATACTGGAATAAGTTGTTCTAGTTATTTTTTGCTGTGTGTGTGTGTGTGTGTGTGTGTGTGTGTGTGTGTGTGTGTGCTGAATGAACTCAGGAGTATATGCTTCAGGCCAAGGATGGAAAATAGGTGCTCTCGCACATGCTCTTCCGGTTATTAGAGGTGATGGGGCTGAAGAGGGTTCTTAGACAACGATTACTAACATCCGCCTTATTTCTTTCATTCTTTCATCCTTTGTTTCTTTTTCATAACTTTGTATTATAAAAAATTCAAACATAAAAGCAGCAAAATGAAGGGCGCCTGGGTGGCTCAGTCGTTAAGCGTCTGCCTTCGGCTCAGGTCACGATCCCAGGGTCCTGGGATCGAGCCCCACATCCGGTTCCCCGCTGGGCGAGAAGCCTGCTTCTCCCTCTCCCACTCCCCCTGCTTGTGTTCCCTCTCTCGCTGTGTCTCTCTCTGTCAAATAAGTAAATAAAATCTTGGGGAAAAAAAAAGCAGCAAAATGATATAATGAAACCCCCTGTGCTCCTCACCTAGCTTCAACAAGCACCAACATTCTGCCACTTCCGTTTCATCTATATCCGCCCCCACCACTTCCCAAGCTACTTGGTTATTACATTCATATGCTTTTTTTTCTTTAAAGATTTTATTTATTTATTTGAGAGGGAAAGAGAGAGTGGGGGAGGGGGGGCCGAGGGAGAGGGAGAAGCAGGGAGCCTGACACGGGGCTCGATCTCACCACCCTGAGATCATGACCTGAGCTGAAGGCAGACCCTTAACCAACCCAGGTGCCCCCATACACTTCTTTTATAAGTAAAAATGGCATATGTGAAAATGTACACATTTCAACCGCACAATTTTGAAAGATGGCTACATCCATGCAATGCACACCTATATCCACAAAGTTTCCTTCATATCTGTTCTGCCCCTCCCCCACCTTGGAGGTAACCAGAATTCTGACTCTTCTAGAACTTCATATACACATACATTTACAGTATATATGCTTGTGTCTGGCTCCTATACTCAGCATAGTACCTGGGAGACCCATCCTTGTTACTGTGTGCATCAGTTCATTTGTTTATTGCTGAATTTATGAATATACCATGGTTTGCTTATCCTTTTCTCTGTTGATGAACACCTGAGCTATTTCCAGTTTTGGCTATTCTGAATAAAAATGATATCAACATTCTGGTGCATAGTGTGTGTGTGTGTGTGTGTGTGTGTGTGTGTGTGTGTGTGTGCGTGCATGTGTAGATAGATTTTTACATTTCTTGAATACCCAGAAGAAAATGGCTGGGTCATATAGTACGTGTGTGTTTAGTTTTATAAGAAACTGTCAGACTTTTTCCACTGGTGGTTGTAACCTTCCCCCACACTGCTAACAACGTATGAGAGTTCTAGTTGCTCTCCCTCATCCACGTTAGGTGTTACCAGCCACGCTGGTGCGCATATTGGTGTCACATTCTGGTCTAGTCATCGGGATGACCGAGTACCTAGCACACGCATTTCTAGGCTGAGGCCTGATCAGGGCCCAGTGGACACCAATGACATAGCAACATCTATGATGTCACAAAGGCTGCTCCCTGACCAATGAGGGGCGGCAGCATGGGGACAGAGTGGGCACGAGTGAGCACTGGAGACGGGTGTGTTGAGAGGCTCAGGCCGGCTGGACAATCAAGGTAGGCCGATCAGAGCAAAACACCATGTCTGGGAAAAGAAGTGGTCAGAGCTCCTATAGGCTGGGGAAGCAGACATCCTCCTGCTCCACAAAAACCAAGCTGCAGTTCCCCGTGAGCCACGAAGAACCCCTCCTGCAGGAAAGCCACCCTGCCCAGAACCTGAGCTTCTCCAGACAGGTCTGCCTGTCGGCCATCCTGAAGTACGTGGCCACCAACATTCTGGAGCTGGTGGGCAACAAGGCCCACCACAACTGCAGGGTGCAGACGGCCATGGACAACAACATGCAAACCAGCCTCCTCTTTGAGGATGACACCACTTCTCAGGTCTCTGAAATGTTCTAATCCAGCAAGAGCTGCTGACACCTGAGTCCACACCACCTCACCCAGTGCTGAAACCTCTCCCAGAAGGAGCCCTGTGCTGCCAACACCTGCACACGCCAATAAAGAAGTGAATTCCATTGGCCTGCTTCTGGCTCCTCTCAATTGTAGCCATACTGGGTTGAAGTCGGCCGTGAATTCTGCAGGAGAATGAGCTCAGTGGAGAGCTGGAGGGATAGAGGATGTGGTCAGCGCGGGGTGCTTGAGTCAGTGGTTTCGGAGGAGTGGTTTCCACTGGTGACAGTGTGGGGGGTGGCCCTGGCGGGAGTGCCCGGCTGAGGTCGTGGGGGCAAGGAAGGCTTCCTCGCTGGCTCTGAGGAACTAAGACCCTGGGGAGGCCAGAAAGTGGGCGGGGGCGGGGGGGGGGCCTCCGAGGCTTGTTGAGTTCCCCCCGACGATGGTGGTAGTTGGGGTGGAGCCGAAAATGAGGAGGTACAGAAGCCTTCGTTCCCGCTAGGTGAGAAGGTGACAGCAATGGCGATGGGGGTGTGACGTAACAACTGGCATAAACTTAACGGCACAGAGCTTTCACATGAAGATGGAGGGGGGATGAAGGAAACGGTAAACAAGAATACAGAGAAATAATGGGCATGTTGGTTTCATTTATTATTTATTTATACCCTGGCTCATTCCAGGAAAGGACTCGAAGCAGGGATCATCAGATAGTGCTGTGATTCTTCCAGGGGAAGAGATCCTCCTGTCCTCTCTTGGGGACAAATAAATAGGAACATTACCTATAAGCTACTCTCTGGCCTAAGACATGCCAAACAAGCAGTTCTCAAGGGTTATGAAATGTTAATGAATGGATCTGTGTATGTATTCCATTGTAAATACAATTATCAATCTCATTCTCTGATGAAACACCAATGAGTCTAATGATCATACATTTGAGAGAACACCAGAGCTAAAAGTGGTTGAATAAGTGTTTTAAAAGATGTACACATATTCTATGTAAATTCTGTTTCAAGTGATAAAATAAAATACAGTTCTTGTAAAAACACTTTCATGCACTGTATGAACTTAAAAAATAGACACCTCATTACATGTAAAACCCGGAGATTAGTTTTTATGAACAATGACCACTCACCCTCCACCGTGTCATTACTTGAGGTTTTCACTTGCTCACTGGACGCTCGAAGGCCACTCTCTGCTGCCCCTCTGGCCTTTTCATAGAGGGCTGGTAAGAGGCTGGCCAGATAATCTGAGCAACAGAGCTAGATGGACTGGGTTCGAAATAGAAGCTCACCACTTACTGGCCATGTGATCTTGGGCATTCACTTATTCCCTCCGAACAGCAGTTTCCTTATCGGTAAAATGGGAAGAACAAGTTCCTCCATCTTTGGGTTTTCATAACAATTAAGCAAATTTATGCCTGCAAACCACAGAGGACCCTTAATGAGTAGCTACATCTATCTTCTTCCACATATATCAGATGTTTAGGCCTTGTTCTTTTTTTTTTTTAAAGATTTTATTTATTTGTTTGAGAGAGCACAAGCAGGGGGAGCAGCAGAGGGAGAGGGAGAAGCAGGCTCCCCACTGAGCAGACCGCCCGACGCGGGGCTCGACCCCAGGACCCCGGGATCATGACTTGAGCTGAAGGCAGACGCTTAACCCACTGAGCCACCCAGGCACCCCCAGGCCTGGTTCTCACGTGATTGCTGGATGCTGGGGCCACTGGCTCTGTAAGTCTGCTAAACCTTGTGGAGAGACAAAAAGGTGCTCTGAGAATGAGTCAGAATTCAACCAGAGAACTAGACAGTCCCATACACTGGGTTCCTCTTGGCTCCCCACTGCCTGAGGACCTACCCTGTCTCAGCTTTCCACCCTTTGTCAAGGCAGAAGGACCCAGCATGGCCTCTGCCTGCTACACGGGAGTACTCTGAGGATTAAAGTAATACTACGGGTTGTGGGCTTGCAGCTCTTTGGAACATGTACTTCTCTAAATAAGTCCAAGGAATCTTTCTTGCCATATAATGCTCATCAAATATATTTACAGATAGCTCATTGTCAGAATGTTCACCCACAATTGTGATTTATGAGAGAGAGCTACAAAGCCCCCCTAAGCCTTAGCCCAGACCAGATCTTACTCTTCTATTTGTTGGAACTGACAAGCAGGCCTCTCCCCTGTAACTGCCAGTGGAGATTCACCTTCGGAAAGTAACACCAACATTGCTACCACACATCCCCAAAAATGAAGTATCTGTTTTCTCAGGGCATTGGTTTCTTGTATGACAATGCCCTTCAGCCTACAGTAAATGCCTCTCTGGTAGGTAATGCCAGGGAATGAGTCATTATACTAAGACCGTAGCATGTCAGTTAAATAACTAATTTTTTAAAACTGCTTATTGTTGGACTTACAGCTGTTGCTTAAAGCACAAAACATCGACTCCTGGCTACTTCACTGAAGAGCACAACAAAGGAATTCATTAAAGGTATCAAGAAGCCCGAGTAGGTGGGGGAACCTCATCAGGGTTAGCATCCTCCGTGGCCAGGACCCTGCAGTAGCCAGTAGGTAATGGTCACTTACAACTCTCATAAGGAAGCAGGTTTCTGAGACTCTTTCACACACTCCGTGACTTCCGCAGTGAAGCTTAAAGGTTGAGCATTCAGGAGCCTGTGTGGCCAAGCCCTCTACGGGGTCACACAGGTGTGGAGGAATCAGGCAGAGCAATAGTACCATGCCTTTAAAAGAACTGTGCTTCAACTGTCCTTGTGGTTATTATGGGAAGCATGGGGACCGTGACAAACATCACATCTAGCCCAGAGTTTGCCTATTCTTTTTTTTTTTTAAAGATTTTATTTATTTATGTGACAGAGAGAGACACAGCGAGAGAGAGAACACAGGAGTGAGAGCGGGAGAGGGAGAAGCAGACTCCCCGCGGAGCAGGGAGCCTGATGCGGGGCTCCATCCCAGGACCCTGGGATCATGACCTGAGCTGAAGGCAGACGCCTAATGACTGAGCCACCCAGGCGCCCCTAGACTTCTTAGAATTCTTTACCCAATGATGAACATGGATGCAAAAATTCTCACCAAAATACTAGCCAATAGGATCCAACAGTACATTAAAAGGATTATTCACCACGACCAAGTGGGATTTATCCCTGGGCTGCAAGGCTGGTTCAACATCCGCAAATCAATCAACGTGATACAATACATTAACAAAAGAAAGAACAAGAATCATATGATCCTCTCAATAGATGCAGAAAAAGCATTTGACAAAGTACAGCATCCTTTCTTGATCAAAACTCTTCAGAGTATAGGGATAGAGGGTACATACCTCAATATCATAAAAGCCATCTACGAAAAACCTACAGCAAATATCATTCTCAATGGGGAAAAGCTGAGAGCTTTTCCCCTAAGGTCAGAAACGCGGCAGGGATGTCCACTCTCACCACTGCTATTCAACATAGTATTAGAAGTCCTAGCCACAGCAATCAGACAACAAAAAGAAATCAAAGGCATCCAAATCGGCAAACAGGAAGTCAAACTCTCACTCTTTGCAGATGATATGATACTTTATGTGGAAAACCCAAAAGACTCCACCCCAAAACTGCTAGAACTCATACAGGAATTCAGTCAAGTAGCAGGCTATAAAATCCATGCACAGAAATCAGTGGCATTCCTATACACCAACAACAAGACAGAAGAGAGACAAATCAAGGAGTCGATCCTATTCACAATTGCACCCAAAACCATAAGATACCTAGGAATAAATTTAACCAAAGAGGCAAAGGATCTGTACTCAGAAAACTATAAAATACTCAGGAAAGAAATTGAAGAAGACACAAAGAAATGGAAAAACGTTCCATGCTCATGGATTGGAAGAACCAACATTGTGAAGATGTCAATGCTACCTAGAGCAATCTACACATTCAATGCAATCCCCATCAAAATACCATCCACTTTTTTCAAAGAAATGGAACAAATAATCCTAAAATTTGTATGGAACCAGAAGAGACCCCGAATAGCCAGAGGAATATTGAAAAAGAAAAGCAAAGCTGGAGGCATCACAATTCCAGACTTCCAGCTCTATTATAAAGCTGTCATCATCAAGACAGTATGGTACTGGCACAAAAACAGACACATAGATCAATGGAACAGAATTGAGAGCCCAGAAATGGACCCTCAACTCTATGGTCAACTCATCTTTGACAAAGCAGGAAAGAATGTCCAGCGGAAAAAAGACAGTCTCTTCAACAAATGGTGTTGGGAAAATTGGACAGCCACATGCAGAAGAATGAAACTGGACCATTTCCTTACACCACACACAAAAATAGACTCCAAATGGTTGAAAGACCTAAACGTGAGACAGGAGTCCATCCAAATCCTAAAGGAGAACACAGGTAGCAACCTCTTCGACCTCAGCCGCAGCAACTTCTTCCTAGAGACATCACCAAAGGCACAGGAAGCCAGGGCAAAAATGAACTATTGGGATTTCATCAAGATAAAAAGCTTTTGCACAGCAAAAGAAACAGTCCACAAAACCAAAAGACAACCGACAGAATGGGAGAAAATATTTGCAAATGACATATCAGATAAAGGGCTAGTATCCAAAATCTATAAAGAACTTATCAAACTCAACACCCAAAGAACAAATAATCCAATCAAGAAATGGGCAGAAGACATGAACAGACATTTTTCCAAAGAAGACATCCAAATGGCCAACAGGTACATGAAAAAGTGTTCAACATCGATCGGCATCAGGGAAATCCAAATCAAAACCTCAATGAGATACCACCTCACACCCGTCAGAATGGCTAAAATTAACAAGTCAGGGAACGACAGATGTTGGCGGGGATGTGGAGAAAGGGGAACCCTCCTACACTGTTGGTGGG